CGAAGAAGCCTCGCATAGGCTTCTCTGAGCTCGCAGAAACCTCGCACAGGCCCTCCAGTGCTTCTGAAATAAGTGTTTATGATGAACAAAGAAGTCCTTCTGAAGAAGAAAGAAGTACTTCTGATTAAGATAGATCTACTTCTGAAGAAGCAAGAAGCATTTATGAAGAAGACAGAAGTACTTCTGGAGAAGAAAGAAAAACTTCTAAAGAAGAAAGAAGTACTTCTGAATAAAAGGTACTTATGATGAAGAAAGAAGTACTTCGGAAGAAGAAAGAAATACTTCTAAAGGAAATACTTCTGAATAAGAAAGAAGCACTTCTGAATAAAAGAGATGTACTTCTGAAGAAGAAAAAAGAACTTATGAATCAGAAAAACGTGCTCTGAATAAGCTATATGTATTTGAAACTGCTGTAGAAGAAATAAGAACTTTTGCAGAAGAAAGAGGACTTCTGAACAAGAAAGATGAGCTTCTGAAGAAGACAGAAAACTGCTAGGGATGAATCGGCTGGGACTGGTCCCACTTCAGCAGGGACTGGGACCAAACAGCTGGGATTGGTCCTAGTAAGCCGGAAGTGGTACCAATCCCGGGGGGGGTCTGGCCCCGGACCTGCTCGAAACAGGCGGCAAAAAAACAACCAAAATCCACTCCAGGGGGGGGGAGCGGGGGCGCAAGGGCCCGCGCGGATCGGCAAAACAACGTAAAAAAAAACTCACGCTCTTTACAAGCACATCTTGCTTCGGGGCGGAAGCTGCCCGCAATGTGCTTGCTGTGCTGGCACTCTGTCCGCCACCGTGCCCTTGTGGCACGACGTGTTCTGTCTTTATGGCCTTTGCCTAGTCCCTTGAGCCTGTCCCCACTCCTGAAGAATCTTTGAGGGGCCCCGACCCCAATTTCCCTGGAGCATCGCTTCGTATGAGCGCAGCGCCGACTCGCTACCTGGCCTCAAAGCATGCGCGCCGACTCCCGGAGTGCTCCGCGTCGGATTAGCAGGACGCTGCTCCGCTAATTGGCCTCCAAGCATGCGCGCCGACTCCAAGAATGCATCGCGTCGGATAAGAAGAGCGCCCCTCCACCAATCCGCCTCAAAGCATGCGATTCCCTGACTGCTCCGCGTCGGATTAGCGGAGCGCCGCTCCGCGAATTGGCCTCAAAACGTGCGCGCCGATTCCCGGACTGCACCGCGTCGTATTAGCGGAGCGCCGCTCCGCCAATGCGCCTCAAGGCATGCGATTCGCGGAATGCTCCGCGTCGGATTAGCGGAGCGCCGCTCCGCGAATTGGCCGCAAAACGTGCGCACCGAGCTGGCATGTCCCAGAGTGCTCCGCGTCAGGTTCGCGGGACGCCACTCCGCCAAACTGGCCTCAGAGCATGCACGTCGACACTGCTCGCGTCGCACCTGCCTCCAAGTGTCTCCTCCGCCTCCGCCTCCTCCTCCTCCTCCTCCTCCTCCTCCTCCTCCCTCCTCCTCCTCCTCCTCCTCCTCCTCCTCCCTCCTCCTCCTCCTCCTCCTCCTCCTCCTCCTCCTCCTCCTCCTCCTCCTCGGACGTCGACACTGCTCGCGTCGCACCTGCCTCCAAGTGTCCCCCGAGAGGCCCCCACGAGGCCCAAAAGAGGCCCCAAGAGGTTCCGAAACGGCCCCCAGGAGGCCTCGAAGCTGCCCCCAGGAGGCCCCCGAGAGGCCTCCCACGAGATCCCGACGGACGTCCAATAGGCTTCGTAGTTACCCACGGCCCAGGCACGGTGGCGGGACGGGCCGAAGGCCAGTAGGTCCGTCGCCCCCTGTTGCTTGCAAGAGGGGTGCCTGGCGTGCCAAATCCTATCGTTTTTGGTTTTGGGTCTTTTCCACAAGAACTCCCACTGGGCCTCCGGCGCGTCCCGCCGGCCACCCGGAAAGATTGCCAAGGACCTCAATTCAGAAAAAATCCTCCAAGATGATCCAAGATGGCCTCCAAGATGGCCACGTTGGCCCAAGATGGCCTCCAAGATGGTCCAAGATGGCCTCCAAGTCCGCCCAAAATGGTCCAAGACGGCCTCCAAGACGGCCCAAGAGAGTCCAAGATACCTCCAAGGTCGCCCGAGAAGCCTCCAAGACGCCCCAATACGACCCCAGAGGCCTCCAAGAAGGTCCTCCAGGAGGGCCCGAAGAGGCCAAAATCATTGATTTTCGTTAGGTTGTTGAAAGACTTTGGCATGTGTTTCTTCTCGGCATTCCGACGGCCGAAGACGGCCCAAGAGGCCCCCAAGATCGCCCCAAGATCGCCCACGAGGCCTCCAAGATGGCCCCATGACGGCCCAAGAGGCCCCCAAGACGGCCCCAAGAGGGCCCCAAGACGGGCCAAGAGGCCTCCAAGACGTCCAAAATGGCCTCCAAGACGGCCCCGACGCGCCCCAAGAGGGCCCCAAGCCGGCTCAGAGAGGCCCCCAAGACGGCTCCCGACGGCGTCAGACGGGCCAGGAACGCCTTAAGACGGCCAAAGAGGCCCCCGAGAAGTCCCCAAAAGGCCCAAAGAGGCCCTCAAGAGGCTCCAAGAGAGCCCAAGATAGCACCAACATGGCCTCCAAGACGGTCCCAAGATGACCCAATCGAGCCCAAGAGTGCCTCAAGAGGCTCCGAAGAGGCATCCTTCCCTTCTCCTTTTTCCTCCTTCTCCTCCTCTTCCTCTTCCTCCCCCACGTGTTCACCGAAGGCTTTCCAAACCGACTCGGGGAACACATGGTCCAAGATGCCTCCAAAACGGCCCACTATGCTTCCATGACGGTCTAACGTGGCGTCAATATTGCCCAAGACGGCCCAAGAGGCCCCCAAGAGGCCTCCAAGACGGCCCAAGAGGCCTCCAAGAGGTCCTCCAGGAGGGCCCGAAGAGACCAAAAACATGTATTGACCCTAAGTGTTTGAAGGGTGTTGGCGTTTGTTTCTTCTCGCCATTCCGACGGCTCAAGACGGCCCAATAGGCCTCTGCCTTTTCCTCTTCATGTTCAATCTCCCACACGTGTTCCCCGAAAGTTTTCCAAACCGTTTCGGGGAACACATGGTCCGACAGCTTGGCCAAGCTCTAGCCCAACTCTCGGCCACACAGGCGTTTCCAAAAAGGCATGGAGCCCAACGATTCGCCACAGAAGCACTTCCTAAAAGGCAGAAGAGGAATGTCTACAGCCTTTCCCATCCAATCATAATATTCCTTCTCCTCTTCCTGTCTCATCCCTCTACTCATTCTCGTCTTCCTCCTCCACGTGTTCCCCGAAAGCTTTCCAAACTGGTTCGGGGAACACTTTGACCCAGTGCTTTAGGTCCCTCTTGGCCAGTCCTGCTTCGAACCAGCTTCAAATCAAATGGCTTCTAAGTGCGGAAGAATGACCCACAGAACTAGGAGGAATACCGCCGCCCCCTGTTGATTCATCACAGGGGTGCCTGGCGTGCTGAACCCTCTCGGTTTTCCGAACCGACTCGGGGAACACGTGGTCCGATAGCTTGGCAGACCTCTGGCCACAACATTGGCCACATAGGCACTTCCAAAAGGGCAGGGGGCGGCGGTGATTCGCCGTAGGCGTCTTCGATAAAAACACCTGTTGCTTTGGGGCGGAAGCTGCCCGGAAGGTATCTGCTGCTCGCGTGCCCCACAGGCTTAAGTCGGGCCAGTCCCCCTACAGGGGGATTCTGGGCGAAAAATTGGAAAGACTCAGAAAATATCCCCCAAATTAGCAAAAATAGTCAAAACAAATCGTCCCCATACGATTTCTGGACTATTTTTGAGCGTCCCTCCTGTAGAGGGACAGGCCCGACTTGAACCCTAGGCCAGCGCCCGCCCCAGCCGCACGACACAGACCGCGGAGCCACGGAGGGGGGCATGCAGAAAGAGACGGCTGCTGGCGAGAGGTGTTCGAAGGGGCCCCGGGACACACACACACACACACACACAAGTAGACACAGATGACAGGATTCCCCATACTTCCCCATCTTTTCTGTTTTTTTTGTTTTCCCCCCCACCTCCCATATTTTCCCATACTTTCCTGGGAATCGACGATTTTCCCCTCCTGAGTGTTGATGGTGCCAGTCGACGGTGCTGCGGGTAATGGATGGGATGATTCGGCCGTTCGGTTTTATCTGCGATGTGCCAGTGGCGTCGGCTGCTCGCGGGGTGCGTCAGTGCTGCTGGTTGCCAGTGAGGTGCGATGTTGGGGTCGGTTGCCAGTGAGATATGCTACTCCAGATTTCGTAATAAAAGGGAGGGGGTCTGGACCCTCCAAGACAAGCCATTTCAGACCTCCCCCGTGGGAGAACCCTCCAAAACATCGTCCCCAGACCCCCCAGGCCCTCCAAGATAGCCTGGAAGAGACCCCCCCCGAAATGAGACCCCCCTCCCTTTATTACGAAATCTGGAGTAGCGGTGCTGGTCACCAGTGGGCTGTGCCAAACGCGCGCGCGCGGCGATACGAAACCTAAACAAAAACATCCAGGCAGCAGTCGGGCCGCCCCTGAGGTTTTTTCACGGCGGCCCCGACAGCAGCCCGAAGAGCTTCACGAGGTCCATGCGATGGCTGCAGACCCCCTCCACCATGGCCGGGAGCCCAACAGATCTCCAAAACGCCTCCGAGAGACACCGCAGTGACCACGCACGGAGTGTCAAATCCGTAACAGGTTGCGGTGGTGCCACACACTTTTTCAGGAGCTCATTGGTGGCGGCTCTCATGCTTTGTTCGAGGACGAGTGCCCGTCCTATACCAGCTGGGGGGAAGAAAGACTCAGTCAACACATGTTCCTCCAGAGGTCGCGCTAATTTCTTGGATCGGCGCTGGGCCCCCCTCCCTGGCGCGCGAAGCGCTCCAGGGGTGGCGGTGGAGGCGCCGCCAGGTTGGGCCCAGTGACAAGCCAAGACATCCGCGCGGACCTCCCACAGCTTATGTTTATATCAGCATACACAGGTGTGCAGGCATCGCTCCGGAGTATCCACAGATCAAACAGACAAGACAAGCAATGATGCAGCAATACCGTCTGCAACAGTCCTGCGCGGCCTCCCCCTGACGCGGCTGCGGATCTGCGCGGCGGAGCAGCGGGACACACTGCTTGAAGTGCAGCGGTCTTGGACACTGAAGAGCGAGCGAGAGAGAGAGAGAGCGGATGTTGACAAAAGCACCGCTGTCCGAGGGGTCAACTCGCTTCTCTGGCATGGCTGTACCAATCCAGGGCCAGAAGATCTAGAGAAGACCACCAATTGGCAGATTGGCATCTGTACATCTGCAGCGTGCTCGAGACACACGATGTGGGCCGCGGGTCGATCTTCAAGTGAGCCTCAAGATCCTCCGCAGGCATCACCTCAGCCATCTGGAGCCAAATCCAGTCGTGGCGACCCAGGCCCCCCCCCCCTTCTATTCCCCCATCCTGCCCTCCTCCCCAGAACCCCCCCCGTCGCCCCCCTCCTCCCCCCACTCATCTCCCCTCCTCTCCCCCGATGTCCCCTCCACCCCTGCCCTCCCCCTCGAGACTCCCTTCACCCCCTTGGGCGGCACAGCCGGCGTGACACGGGGCGCCGAACACCCCGCGCAGGGGGGGGAGGACGCAACACGGCCAATTGGTGCTTCTCCGCAGTGTAGCGCCGGCGAAAAGCGCGGGGCCGCACCTGCGCGGGCAATCTGACCTTGAGCCCGAGGAGCGGAGGAGGAAGAGGGGGAGGAGGAGGAGGAGGAGGAGGAGGAGGGGGAGGAGGAGGAGGAGGAGGAGGAGGAGGAGGAGGAGGAGGAGGAGGAGGAGGAGGAGGAGGAGGGGGAGGAGGAGGAG